ATGACCCTGAAAGAAATTAAGGAGGATGGAATAATCAATAAATATTGATATGGCTTTCTGAGAGTGTGATAAGGGCGGATGTTCTACTGAAAAGACAGAATGGAAGGAAGGAAGGAAATAAATAATTTGAATTTTCATTATTTCTTCTTCCATCTTCTCTATAGTTTTACAAAGAGGAGGTACACAGCTGGTAGGCGAGTAGTCGATAGATGTTTGGAGCAAGTCCGAAAACAAAGAATGTGCTCTGGATACTTACAATTGATTCACTTTTGTAGTTTTTCATTTGGCTGAAGATAGTAGACTTTCGTGATTTTTTATTGAACACGATTTTTCAACAGGAGCGTCATTTTGCGGATCGACAAATATCCTAAAAATCAATTTAGGTTTACCGTTCCGGGCCAATTCCTATTTTTTTCTATTATTATTATTTTTTTTTTAATATATGTATATACAGAGGTTTATCAAAAAAAATAACAATCTAATTGTTATCTTAATCCTTAAAAGTTTTATCAGCTCTTATTTAAAATGCGTTCCTGAGTGAAATTTATCAGCCAGAGGGACACTTTTAAGGGGTTGATTTATGCAAAGCATGTCCTATAAATTTCAAGAAAGGTGTGAATGTATAAATATATAATATAAGGAAGATTTTAGAGTTGATAATATAAAGAATTAAAAGATTTAATGGTTTCTTGGCCAGGTGGAAGAAATATTATCCCGTATTGCTAGCAGTTCCAAAAAACCGTAGCGAAACAAGGAAAGCCGTTTTAAGAGCTGCACGATGATTGCGACGACAAACTCAACAGAGGGAGGAACACAGACGGAAACATATGAAGTATTCCTATGTTCCCCCTCCTTGATAGTTGGGTCACAGCAAAAATCGATCTCTTCCTCAGCAGTTAACATTTTCCTCTCCATCACAGCATTTTTTGGGAATTTTCTAATCCTTGCTGCCCTTAACAAGGAAACTTCCCTTCATCCACCGTCGAAACTCTTGTATCGTTGTTTGGCAACAACTGATCTGTTGGTTGGTCTTGTTAGCCAGCCTCTCACTGCTACTTACTGGATGTCCTTGGTTTACGAACACTGGAGTCTTTGTCGATACGCAAGGGACGCAGTCTTCATAGCAAGCTTTGCATTATGTGGAGTGTCTTTGTTGACGCTGACGGCAATTAGCGTGGACAGACTTCTCGCTTTGTTGTTAGGAATAAGATATAGACAAATAGTAACTTTAAAGCGCACATGTATCGTTACAGCTACTTTTTGGATTTTATCCGTCGCCGCTGGATCATTTTACATTTCATATACTCGAATAACCATTTGGTCTTGTATTATAGTCATACCGTCATGCTCAGTGATCTCAATCGCCTCGTACACAAAGATTTTTCGCACTCTTAGACATCATCAGGCTCAAGTACAAGATCACGTTCAAAAACAGCCGAGCCAACCAAATGCACTGAACATGGCAAAATACAGGAAGGCAGTGAGCAGTGCACTGTGGGTGCAGTTAGCATTAGTTGTTTGTTATGTACCAAAATTTACAATGCTGGTTGTGATCACTAATAGAAAAACATATTCTTCACATATAGTCTTTATTGATGGAATTTCAAGTATTTTTATGTATTTTAACTCCACTTTGAACCCGTTTCTTTACTGTTGGAAAGTTAGAGAAGTGAGACAAGCAGTAAAGCAGACAATCCGACATGCATTTTACTTTCTATGGACTTAGATATATTTTCTCGGAGTCGCCGGACTTGTATTAACAAGGCGTAATTTAAAGGGAAAGAAGAATGAAACAAACACGATCTTTCAGCTTCTATTGTGTTCTAGATGCTTTAGTGTTTGCCTGTTTATGCTGATAAATACCAAATAAAAGCACAGTACCATGGTTTAGTAATGTAACCTCGTCGGCAAAAAGAAAAACTGAAAGGCAGAATTAA